TAAATGCAGTAGAAATGCGGTCGCTAAGGAGTATGTTAGGGCTCAATTTGAGTGACAGGGTGAGAAACTGTGTGATAAAAGAAGAGTGTGGTTTGCAAGACGATGCGGTGACCAGGATTAAGAAAGGTATGCGTCGCTGGTTTGGTCATGTAGAAAGAATGAATGAGGAAAGACTGACAAAGCAAATATATGTTGCAGAAGTGAATGGAAGAGTCGGAAAGGGACGTCCTAGGCGGAAGTTTTTCGACCAAATTGGCGATATAGTAAAAATGGGCCAAATTAAGAGTACCCTTAACCGACGAGCATGTATGCTTAGGTATATGAATGTGGAAGAGGCGAGAGAGGTATGTCAGTATCGTGCTAAATGGAAGTCTGTAGTCTCTACCTACCCCTCTGGGTGACAGGCGTGAGTGTTTATATATTATATATTATTTAGATATAGTTGAGTCAATCACTAGCGTACATGTAAAATAATTTGTTCAAAAATGAATTCACCAAAATCGTACAAATTATCAATAATGTGACTTTTTGAAGTGAAAACTTCTTTAGCATCGTTGTGATTTGAAACTGGATGAAATGAAAAAGCGACAGTAAAAAAGAGACAAACACAAAAATTCATAAGATTTGACGTGGGAGAAAATGAGATAGGAAGCATTATAAATTATAGCTCAATATTCGTGAGAATATTGAGCTATAATTTATAATTTATAATTTATATTTATTCTCATAGAATACCAGCGTGAAATAGTAGCTTATTGCTGCTGTGTTTCGTATGGTGAGTGTAGAGAACCGGAGACCCTTTTTACTGGAAACGAGGCATTCCATCTTAGTCCTCACGGGTGACAACGCATCTGCATTTTGATTCGTAATTGAGGATAGATGTAGATGTCTATGGGCCACAGCAACCACTTACCATCAGGTGGACTGTGTGCTCGTTTGTCACCCTATCCTATAAAAAAAAATATTCGTGAGAAAAAAGTCGTAAACGCCAAGGAAACGGTGTCGCTTACGCGTTTTGTTGAACAAGGTGCGTGCTGTGGTACGAAGGTGTCGTGTGCCTACTGATTAAACAAGCAGTGAAGAATGGCCAAACCTCAACTTCTTAATAGCTAAAATTGATATAAATCTTTTTGTAATTAGTGAGTACTATATAAGGTATATCGAAAAGGGTAATAAAATATCTGTATCTAATATATATATATTAAAAGGATTGTTACATTTATTTAAGTACTATAAAATTATATTTTCTTATATTTTATGCCGAACTTTCACGCGACAGAAGGTTTCACTTCTGTCTCGTGTGAGCTGCACGCATGTTTTTTTTTCTTTGGAAAATTCAAATGAAAAATTAATAAAATAATTGAAAATATTCCATAATTTAAGAAGTATATAACATAAATTTTAACCAAAAATAGACGCGTCATAGCAGTAATGACGTGCAACCATCAGGATTATTTCGATGATTAACACAACAGTCACTCACGGAACTTGTAACCATTTTGAAAAACTACGGATTACAACAATTAACACTTTTTTAATTCAAAAAATTAAAAAATTCCTATGAGCTTATTTCATGCGTGTCGAATTCACGTTGCCGTATTCACACATTTGAACATAATGATTTATATGTTATAACATAATTAACGTAAAAATGCTATTAGAAGCATTTTTTCTACACGGACGGAGTCGCAGGCAAAAGCTAGTACTTTAATAATTGTTGACTTTTATTTAAAACCCACAATCATGTGCATGTTAGAAAAGGTAGGTGTAGGAAACTTAATAGCAAAAATAGTAATTACTAGCTTCTGCATGCGACTTCGTCAGCGAGAAATTTGTTGTTCCTCGACTCATATCCCGTCGCATCGCATTATCTGTCCGCGCTGTAGTTCCATAGGTTACCTCTTGCCGACCAACAAATTTCACCTCTTTATAATAATAATAACGACTTTTCTTTATTACAATAATAATAATAATAATAATAATATGGCGTAGGGAATTGACGACCCCATCGCCCGCTGACGTAACAGTTAAGTGACAAAACTGCTACGTCAACGCAGTCAGTCAGCGCCTTGCGAGAGGTGTGAGCGCCGTGCCTCGGCAGAATTCAGGGTGCAAAGGCCCGTTTGTGCTTATGGCCGGTGATACGGTGCCGGGCCTGGGCGTCTCCCGTTAATGGACGCCCATATTATGGATGATGGAGAAAAAGATAGTGCGCAAAGGGCCGCTGCCTGGAGGTCGCCAGGGCGCGTCTGGAGCTGGCGCTGGACGCGACAGCATGCGGGCCGCCAGCCGAGCGCGGGGTGTTGCAAGACCACCTAGCAGCCCCCCGCATCCATCATCCCCACCAGAAGGCTTGGTGTCGGCTGGGTCTTCTCGGACTCAGCAAGCGGCACCCGCCGCTGGTGGAGCACGTCGCATGCGTTGGTCTAAATCAATGAATGAAAACGCACTGCGGGCGTATTTTAGGGCAAAAGGGGAAGAAACTGGATGTTTGGCGTATCGGGCTCGGATGCATCGCTTTTTTGCAGAGCTGGAGCCATCTCTATCCGTCACTGAGCAAAACCTGGCAGACCGAGTTAGGTACATCCTGCGCTCCAACATATTTGGTGACGCCGAACTCGAGCGACTACGACGTGAGGCTATTCCTTCATCGAATGGAAATGCTACGGCTGGGAATGCGGCGCCACTAGATGCGCAACAAACTGCATATGTGGATGCTGCCGTCAACATTCCATTTGTGGCTAATTCAGACGACGATGGAATAGTCTTCCACGAACTAGAGAAAATGAGGAGCATATTGGAAGAGTCGATGCTGGAAACACGCAGTATGCCTCTCGAAAATCGACCGCGACTTCCCCGCATACCCCTTAGCAAGTGAAATCGAGCTGTTGTGCGGACTCTTAACCCAATGCTGGTGACCTATTTGGAAGCCAGCCGGGACCTTTGCGAGACGGATTCAATTCTTTTTGGCGCCGCACTGGCAGTATGCCGTATTATTGGCGCCAAACTTCCCGTGGCTGGACGTGCTACTCAAAAAAGTAGCGCCATCCCAGCCTGGAGAAAAAGAATTGAGGACCGTATCGCAAAGGCAAGGGCCCTTATCGGCAGACTGACAAGCTTCAGGTCGGGTAATAATAGACCGAGGATTATGCGCACCGTTCGGATGGCGTTTGCTGGGACAAATATCAGTTTGTTCCAGCCGGATATCACGCAAAAACTAACGGAGCGCATAGATGACCTGAAGCAAAAAATCGCTGCTTGGGGGGAAGCGGATTCGACGATTTAGCGAGAGGTCAAGGCGGTTCAACCAGAATCGTCTCTTCCAGAGTGATCAGAAGAGGCTCTATAAATCATTGGAGCGACCAGAGGTATGTGGAGCGGGCCCAGGACCGGATTAGGCTGACACGGTCGCATTTTGGCGTGGCCTGTGGTCAGAGCCCGTAAACCACAGCGAGGGCCCTTGGATGGAAGTTGTGGCGAGCCAGAGTGCAAGTGTTACGCCTATGGACCCCGTCACCATAACGCCTGAAGACGTGGCTGAGGCGGTCCGTAGGGCCCGGTCCGGGGCTCGACGGGCTGCATCATTACTGGCTGAAAGGGTTCGTAGTGTGTCACGCTGTGCTCGCTCGACAGTATCAAGAGGCTCTCGATCAGAAGTCGCTCCCGAGCCTCTTCACTACTGGGATCACTCATTTGGTTCCTAAAGATCAGGATACCACAGACCCGAGCAAATACCGCCCCATCACGTGTCTACCCACCATATATAAGACACTGACATCCATTTTGAGCGCGAGAATCACTCGTCACCTGGAGCTAAATCAGGTGATGTTACGCGCTCAAAATGGATGCCGGGGCGGTGGTCGTGGAACCAAGGAACCACTCCTCATTGACGCGGTCATTGGCAAAGTGGTGAAACGCAACCGTCGGAATTTCTCCGCCGCCTGGATAGACTACAGAAAGGCATTCGACTCGGTGCCCCATACATGGCTAAAGAGAGTCCTCCAGCTGTACAAAATTGACTGTACAGTTGGAGACTTCCTCGAGCAGTGTATGGGGCAATGGAGTACGATCCTTTGCTATCTGGGCGAGCGGATGATGGCTGCGGAGAACCACATAAGGATAAGAAGGGATATTTTCCAGGGCGATTGTCTGAGTCCAATCTGGTTCTGCCTCTCCCTGAACCCTCTCAGTACTTTACTTGAGGGCTCCGGGAGGGGATTTCAGCTTCGGAAAGGAGGTACAAAAGTGACCCACCTTTTCTATATGGATGACCTCAAGTTATTCGCCTCCAGTCGCTCCCATCTAATGGAATTGCTAAACATCACTTGTGAATTTAGCAATTCTATTGGAATGGAGCTGGGAACGGATAAGTGTGCGGTCCTCCATGTTGAAAGGGGGAGGGTTGCTAACTCTGAGGGCATAGACTTATCTATGCCCGTCAACTTAAGGACCCTTTCCGAGGCTGAAACATACCGATACCTGGGTATGTCACAGAACATCGGTATCGATGAGGCTGGTATGAAACAGTCAGTTTGCGACGTGTTTTATGCACGCTTGACCAAAGTGCTTAACAGCTTCCAGGTGACGAGTGATTCTCGCGCTCAAAATGGATGTCAGTGTCTTATATATGGTGGGTAGACACGTGATGGGGCGGTATTTGCTCGGGTCTGTGGTATCCTGATCTTTAGGAACCAAATGAGTGATCCCAGTAGTGAAGAGGCTCGGGAGCGACTTCTGATCGAGAGCCTCTTGATACTGTCGGGCGAGCACAGCGTGACACACTACGAACCCTTTCAGCCAGTAATGATGCAGCCCGTCGAGCCCCGGACTTTTCCAGTTCGGGCCCTACGGACCGCCTCAGCCACGTCTTCAGGCGTTATGGTGACGGGGTCCATAGGCGTAACACTTGCACTCTGGCTCGCCACAACTTTCATCCAAGGGCCCTCGCTGTGGTTTACGGGCTCTGACCACAGGCCACGCCAAAATGCGACCGTGTCAGCCTAATCCGGTCCTGGGCCCGCTCCACATACCTCTGGTCGCTCCAATGATTTATAGAGCCTCTTCTGATCACTCTGGAAGAGACGATTCTGGTTGAACCGCCTTGACCTCTCGCTAAATCGTCGAATCCGCTTCCCCCAAGCAGCGATTTTTTGCTTCAGGTCATCTATGCGCTCCGTTAGTTTTTGCGTGATATCCGGCTGGAACAAACTGATATTTGTCCCAGCAAACGCCATCCGAACGGTGCGCATAATCCTCGGTCTATTATTACCCGACCTGAAGCTTGTCAGTCTGCCGATAAGGGCCCTTGCCTTTGCGATACGGTCCTCAATTCTTTTTCTCCAGGCTGGGATGGCGCTACTTTTTTGAGTAGCACGTCCAGCCACGGGAAGTTTGGCGCCAATAATACGGCATACTGCCAGTGCGGCGCCAAAAAGAATTGAATCCGTCTCGCAAAGGTCCCGGCTGGCTTCCAAATAGGTCACCAGCATTGGGTTAAGAGTCCGCACAACAGCTCGATTTCACTTGCTAAGGGGTATGCGGGGAAGTCGCGGTCGATTTTCGAGAGGCATACTGCGTGTTTCCAACATCGACTCTTCCAATATGCTCCTCATTTTCTCTAGTTCGTGGAAGACTATTCCATCGTCGTCTGAATTAGCCACAAATGGAATGTTGACGGCAGCATCCACATATGCAGTTTGTTGCGCATCTAGTGGCGCCGCATTCATAGAAAAGTCGTTATTATTATTATAAAGAGGTGAAATTTATTGGTCGGCAAGAGGTAACCTATGGAACTACAGCGCGGACAGATAATGCGATGCGACGGGATATGAGTCGAGGAACAACAAATTTCTCGCTGACGAAGTCGCATGCATTAGCTAGTAATTACTATTTTTGATATTAAGTTTCCTACACCTACCTTTTCTAACATGCACATGATTGTGGGTTTTAAATAAAAGTCAACAATTATTAAAGTACTAGCTTTTGCCTGCGACTCCGTCCGTGTAGAAAAAAATGCTTCTAATAGGATTTTTACGTTAATTATGTTATAACATATAAATCATTATGTTCAAATGTGTGAATACTTATAAAATAATACAATATTTATTATAGTGTAGGGATTTAAAAGTTAAATAAACATGAAAATAAAATAAAATTTTGTTATATTTCATGAACACGTAGCTAGACAATACACATTTAATTATTAAACTTCTAAGACAAACTACTACTTACTTACATATCTATATAAAAACAAAAAGAGGACTATATTATTATAGACAACAAATCAAACGCAGTTATTTTTACAATCAAAACTAAAAACCTGTATTATACACTGACAAATCAAACTCAAAGAATCTTATTTAATTGTTATAACAACAAATGAAAAATAAATTAAATTAACTACACTCACAATATTCTATTGAAATAGTGTAAATGAATGTCCAAACAAATTACATAGCAGTCGCAAATATTCGCTGAGTAGGTAATCTTAGAGACTTTCAAATAATTTTCGAAGGAAAATCAAGGTATATAAAGTAAGTTTTTTATTCAAATAATCCAAGAACAAATAAAATTGAAATTTTGAATTCTAATCCGATTTAAATATTATTTTATATTCGATATTCCAATGTTAAAGAGTATTATTGCACTGCACCAAGCTTTTATGTGAGTTCATTGTGCTATTATGTACTACGTACTAGAGGCGACCGTAGATAGAGGATTGACTAAACTAAGATACTAATATAATATTATAATTATATTAGTAGCGCTATTAAACACGCTATGTTATAGCGCGCTATTTATAAAAAAGTGTCTAGGAGGCCGGCAAGCGCGTTAAGTTTAGCAGCATGCTATATCTCGGAGCACGCTACATTACATGTCGTTCATTGGATAGACCGCGTGCTATATAAGAACATTGTTTCATAATAAGTCGCATTTTAGATTAAAATAAAATAAAGTGGTAAAGAAAAATTAAAGGACGCTCTTTCACACTTTTCGGGCTTACGACTTTTTATAATCCTAAAAATATTTTTAAGGACTGAACTTTTTAAAACAAAATAAAATTAATCATTTTTTATTATTATTGATGTAAACGTTATTTTAACCTTAATATAAATTATAAATGGTGTATTTTCAAAGGTGTATTTAAAAGTTTATTGATTGTATATACAAAAATCAACTATTTACAAATACTATTATATACACTTTTGTATCTATATTTTATTTACATTTAAAAACATCAGTTACGCTTCTTTTGTAGCAGACAACTGTGTCCTTCGATCACTTATTAATAAACAGTATACACTAACTAAATAGCGTCTAACACTAATTTAGTTCGCGCGCGATGAATAGCGTGCTGCTAGATTAAATTTGCGTCACACGTCCACTCACAACAGCGCTGCTGCTAGAACTATTTGCCACTTGATATGAACAGCGCCAAAGCGTCATAGCGTCACATAGCGCCATGGCGACTACTTACATAGCACGCGCTATGCGTTATGAAGAGATAGCGCGCTATAATATGGCGCTATGCGCTATATTAACCACCATTACTGCTTATATACTAGTGAGTTGACCCATATGTTGCTTAATTATATTTAGAAAAAAATCTCTAAAATATACCTTGGTGTGTTTCTAGATATTGCACAAATAATTCAAGTAATGTTAGCAAATACCAAGGAAAAACTTTGTATCGGTTAATAAGTTAATAAGATACTTAATCAATAAAAAAGTATTAGAGATACAAATTGTTCCTAAGACGCCATCTCTTGCCGTGTAATATAGATTACGAAATTAATTTGTTCAGATGCGACATTTCTGTGGGTGCTTAAGTATAAGACGAATATATTATTATGTACAATTTTTTGTAGAAACATATAGAAGTTATCATAATTAGGCAAAATTTTTTATATTTAAATCTGCTCATTTATTCTATTATTTTATTTTTAGTTTTCCACATCAAAGTCATATGTACAATTTTTTTTGTAGAAACATATAGAAGTTATCATAATTAGGCAAAAAATTTTATATTTAAATCTGCTCATTTATTCTATTATTTTATTTTTAGTTTTCCACATCAAAGTCAAAGTGGAATAAATTCGTCCGTTTTTAACTCTCGCGTGCCCAGCATTTATGAACGAATCTTATTCTAATTTAAATAAATATATTTGTAATTTTAATGTTATATTAATAAGTTTTGTTAAATATACATTTAGTATGTTTTTTTTTATATTTGACATAGTTACATTTTAAAATATTCAGATAAAAATATCATTAAAATGTTATTGTGATACAATATTATGTAATATTATATTCAATAAGCAAATATAATATACATAATAAATGACAAAATTTAAAAAAATGTACTCGATATAATTTACCTATTTAACAATACAATCTACTATTACCTACTGATCATTCTACCTATGTTTATTCTAGGATAAAAAAACCGACTGCGCGAACACAGAGTAGCGCTCATTTTTTGGTTTGAAATAGCTGTTCTAGTACGTAAGTACATATTACTCAATGTGTGAGTTCAACGTTTTGAGTATGGAGTGTAGAAGCAAGGAGTACCAACTCCCATAGTAGAATAGTTGGAAAAGTGGCCATCTGTAAGCAGTAAATAACAGTTTAACACAAACACAAAATCACAAACTCTCTACAACAGCGCTGGAGTAGCTACTGGGATGAAATGAACTTAGCAGTTGTCGACGGTTTAAGTATGCTGCTAAACTGCTCAGTAGCTCTAAAATCTAAAATAATTTTATTTAGTAAATATAACCTCGAAAAAGTCGTCTATCCCACTAATATTTTTCGGTGCGTTCTTTAAAGTATACACCGTAGTTATAGTGGCACCACCCTTATTTAGCGATTTTCTATGGACACTAATACACAGTCTGTACTTACTTCTACACTCCATAGTTTTGAGTTTTCTAACATGTGTCAAAATAAAATGTATAATTTAAAACACTAAGGAGTACTGATATCAACTTCGATGCAAATCTCCACAAAATAATGGAATTCTAAATTTAATAAATTTAATAAAATTTAAAAAAATATTTGAATGATATTATTAAAATGAGCAATTTTTTCTTCTGTATTCTAACTTTCCCATTAAGTCTCTGTATCTTCATGGACTAACTTTTGACATTTGTCCTTTAATTTCTTTATCATTTCAAACGAGTTTACCCGAAATCAAATAAAAATAAGAAATAAGTATAAAATAATATTTAAGATCCCTCGCTCCCAGTCTCGATTCAGTCGATGAGATGTTATAATTGAGATCAAATTCGCAAATAATGATGATAATAGAAACTGAAGCTGGTCATACCGATAACGCTGGCGCAGCGGAGGTGCTAGCGGCAAATTGTACAGAAGTCCAAAGAGTACAATCTGCCTCTTTGCCTGGCGTATGTGGACTATGAGAAGGCCTTTGATTCCGTCGAAATTTGGGCGTTGTTATAGTCCCTTCAGCGGTGCCAAGTGGACTGTCGGTATATCATAGTGCTAAAGTGTTTGTACAGTAGGGCTACTATGGCTATCCGAGTACAGAACCTGATGATGAAATGGAGTAACGACCTGGTAAGATATGCAGTAAGTCGATGGATACTGGTGGGTCAGGACCGAGCTTTGTGGCGTACCTTGGGGGAGGCCTATGTTCAGCAGTGGACTTCTGAAGGGCTGTAATGATGATGATGATAAGAGTCCTATATCAGTCTTTGGAAATCTATGTATGTAGTATGAAATTAATATGCTTGCTTTACCTATGCGGGACACAACAAGTATTCTTAATGATGAAAAATATAATCCTCCATGTTTTCAGTTTTCAACTATTCTCCTATGAGAGTTGCTACTGTTACGCGCCTTAGCCGACGGCACTAGCGCCTAGTTGAAACTCGAACTCTCGGTACCTTGCGCGTGTTTACTTGAATATTCTGGATATTTCCGTGCTAATTTATATAACAAAAAGAGACAAGCGAAGCTTCGGATTCAGTGTGATTAATTATTAGTGTTTTAAGTTTTTATTGGTGTAAAGAAAATTAAAGTGTTAATTTAGGTAATTCTATCGGCAATTTTTATTGTCACGAACCTCAAGCTCGTAACACTACTAATTACTTCTACACTGCATACTACATGCGTTAAACAATTTTTTTCTCGTTGCCATCCTCGCTTACCCGTCAAATCTCACTGACTTATAATAGGTATATATAGGTATTGGGTGCGTTTGGCAGAAAAAAGCGCTATCAAGCGCTTACAAGTGCTAAAATAGTTTTCGGCCAGGACACGATTGCTACTTCAATAGCGCTGACACAATCCGCCATTTTGCTTATTTAATTTGTTTGTTTTGAAGTAGAGTTTATATGTTGTTTTGTGCAATATTATTTTTAAGTAATATAATGACATGAATAGACATATACATGTTATTAAAAATTCATGATTGGTAAGTTTTTAATATGAATAATTTACAAACATATATTTAAATTAGGTTAGG